TTCCCCACATGGGTACAATGTGTGAAGCCCATTTCTGGTGTCCCCCGCCGTGATATTGCTGGAATATTGCTAAAAGCGGCGTAAAACCAAACTCACTCACTCACTTGGAACTTGGGTGCCAAACATGGCTTTACTTACTTGTTTCAACTCAGAAGACTATTTAGCAATCGGAGTGAGTGAGTGAGTGAGTCTCTGCTGTAAACAGTATTTGAATTATAATCACGGTCGGTTAACATAGAGTGTGAGGACGGCCCAAAGTGTTTCAGGTTTTACACGTTTACCATTCTGATGGAACTCAGGAACACGGATGGAATTCTAGAACACTGGAAGCATGGCGAATCTGGGACTGGAGCACAGGATCCCGCCGCCACCTCCAGTAAGAACGCTATGCAATCATCTGCCTGTACGCCTCAGAGAATCATAACGGGCGGATCTTAATGGTGCTGTAGATTAACAAAGAAGAACTTATCGATCGATTCATGGCTCATTCTTGTATTTTGTGCTCAAGATAAAAGTCGAAATGGTTATGGATCTGATGATATAAGGTCCACGCAACTTCAAAAGGTGGGAATTGTAATTAACGTGACATCGCGTGTTCTATACTGAGGTTCACAGAAACAGAAGCTTTAAGGTGCCATTGCAACTACAAGAACCTCTAAGACTGTTTTCTTGGACTTGGAGTTCCATTATTTCCGTTCGTGCGTTGGACAGATCTTTGAGGGTGTAAACTAGACTCCCTTGTACACTTTTTTGTACACATGTGTATGAGACGGTTTTGAGCCATGCAGGCCATGATTTTTTTTTTTTAATGACGTGTATAATTTAGCATTCATCTGTATCTGTTGGGTTATTACTCACAAAATGGCGAGCTTCAGTTGAGTTGCTTTCTTACGATCTGGAAATAACCAAGTCTGGACCAAACAATCCAGTGACTAATATTATCAGCACCAATCTATGATGACATGTATCAACCAAGTCGCGGAACCTGATTTCACGATCCCGTTAGTCAGCCCTCACGACAAGCATGCAGTGTGCGAAATAGCCACTGGCCCGCTAGCTCGTGCCTAGTGAAAATCCAGTCGGGCCAGTAAATCTCCACTGTCATTTTTCATGGGGTCATTTTGTAAATATATCACTCTCTCTGACTTGTTGAGTTGATACACTTTTAAATCATGCAAGATTATGGCCGAGTAAATATGGTGATTACATCAGCAGCTTAATGATGAAACCCGTGTCTACATTCGGGCTAGTGAATTAGTTTTTACGCTAGTAACTTTCATGCATAACTAGCCCGACTTCGTTAGCAAAATTTGGAAACTATTTCGCACACTGCAAGCATGGGCTGCTTATAACAGTTCAAACACAAATCTTCAATTATTTTCTCCTTGTAAGTCAATGAGAATACTAATGAACAACTAATGGTTGTATGGTGTTGATTGGGTTGCTACCCCCATCATATGCCGCTATACTACATTTGATAAAGGAAGGGTGGGTGAAGGATTTCGGGTGATATACTAGTCTGGTCGAAACACCACCAGCACCACGAAAACACCCACTCACGTGGCACTGAACAATAGACGTGTTACACTCCAAGAGTTAGAAGTCACAGGATTCTCGTATCACGCGTATGTATAAGTGTCCCATGAGTTCCCGGAAAGTTATCTAGAGTAAAATGAAGGTTGTGCGGGTCACGACCTCTAATGAAGGTTGTGCGGGCCACCACCTCTAATGAAGGTTGTGCGGGTCACGACCTCTAATGAAGGTTGTGCGGGTCACTACCTCTAATGAAGGTTGTGCGGGTCACGACCTCTAATGAAGGTTGTGCGGGTCACTACCTCTAATGAAGGTACGGGTCACGACCTCTAATGTGCGGGTCACGACCTCTAATGAAGGTTGTGCGGGTCACGACCTCTAATGAAGGTTGTGCGGGTCACGACCTCTAATGAAGGTTGTGCGGGTCACGACCTCTAATGAAGGTTGTGCGGGTCACGACCTCTAATGAAGGTTGTGCGGGTCACGACCTCTAATGAAGGTTGTGCGGGTCACGACCTCTAATGAAGGTTGTGCGGGTCGCGACTAATGAAGGTTGTGCGGGTCACGATAATGAAGGTTGTGCCGGTCACGACCTCTAATGAAGGTTGTGCGGGTCACGACCTCTAATGAAGGTTGTGCGGGTCACGACCTCTAATGAAGGTTGTGCGGGTCACGACGTCTAATGAAGGTTGTGCGGGTCACTACCTCTAATGTCCTGTAATGATTTCACTTCAGTGACTTATGACAAAAACTACATCCATCACGAAGATTTGGAGGACAAACAAGAATCCATGGAGTTGAAATACCCGGGTGTCCAAACCCAAGGCGTTTTAAAACAGCCAGATAGATCTTATGGTCACTTTTGTTGATAACACACGCCAATTGTTTATCAATAACAGCTAGTTCTATAGAAATTATTACGCGACTCTATCAAAACCAAAAGACCCGGTAAACCTAATGGTCTCCTCCATTAGGCACCAGGCACCACGTTGCCATGGCTACATCATGATATTCACCATATTTGAGTGTTAGCAGCTACCACTTTATCAAATTTGAAAACCCAACACGTCCGTGGTAAGATATAAAACTGTCACCAAGGATCGGTGCTGCTATGGAGGGCTGATGGACAGACCAGGATTTGACCTCCTACAAAACAGTGACCTGGAGAAGAGCAGCGTTTGAAATACCTGCTTGCCCGACCGCCCGGGGCGGGCTATTTTCAACACGGACTGCCAGATTCTCAAATTCACCTGCCCGACGGTAGGTTAAAATTTAGACATGTATATTAGCATTTTTTGTGGGAAGGTAAGTTTTGGTCTGGGCTGGCAAGTGTTACATCTAACCAGCCCTGTAGTCTGAATGAAAGATATGTATTTCCAATCTTGGTCGGAATCATTACTTCTATCAACAAAATGTGTATATCATAATCAATGGAAATCGGATATACGTTATGAAAACTAATTAGCAAACATCGACGTAACAAAGTTTCGTTTCTCTTTCGTTTTCGTTGCTCTTCCCGTGATTTTTTTTATTGAAACTGGCAGGTATGCAGGCATACTAAGAGATAACAGAATATGTCAATTCTGTAATATGAATACTGCTGAGGATGAACAACATTTCCTTCTGTATGTGTCCTGTTTATACCACTCTACGAACCAAATACCTAAAGCCATACTATTATAAGCATCCAAGTGTAAGAAAATTATTTTCACTGTCAACATACTGTCACATTATTATTACAGAATCTAGCAATATACATCTATTTCGCTATGAGTTTAGGAAAAAGGATTTTTATAGAAAAGAATTTGTAAATGACATCCAACTACTCATGCAAACTTTAAATGTACCACAGGCCTGTGGCCTTTTAAAGTTCCGAATAAAGATTGATTGATTAGGAGTAAGTCGTTCTATTCACGTTTTTCTAGGCCACAGGCCCACAGTACAAAACATTTCAATATTGTGATTACAAATGAAGTGATTCATACAATTTCATAGCAAAATATATGTATTTAGACAAATTCACATAAGTAAGTTGACGATTTGAAGACATAAGTCTAACAAATGTTTCAAATGAGGGGTTACTATAGTATTTATACTCAATATATTGCTTTCTTAAGTCGGTGAAGGCACAGCAGACAAGGATAAAATGGTACTCGTTTTCGACAAGCTGGATATTATATCGAAGGCAGTATCTGCATAAACGGTTCTCGATGCCTATGCCCAATCGTCTCCCCATTTCGATCAGTAGCTGGTGGCAGCCACATCTGAATCTGGTTAACGCTTGCTTCAATGGAGGGGAACTGTTTTGTGAGAGATAGGATTCATCATGCAGAACTGTTTTGTAAGTTGAATAAGCTGTCAACTTGGAGTTCGATGACATTGAAGCCTGCCATCGTTGAATGTTGTAGTCAGACGCTCTTTGTTTGAACTCAGACATGACAATATCAATATGTCCAACATCTTGCATAACCCAAGCGTACCCGAATCCGAACTGGAATAAGATATGTTTGTGGCCCAAGAAGATCTGTTGACGTTGTCTAATCCATATAGCATAAGATAGGTTTGCTTCAGTAATCTGTCGTTATTCATGTTGATTATTTTGGCCCAATATTTATTAACACATTTAGTTACATAAGAAACATATAAAGGTCGTCCACTTTCACCAAGCACCGCATCATTGCGGGTTGTCAAAGGCAGATGTAGAATTCGTTTGATGAACTTTGTCTGTACCCTCTCAATTTGTTCTACCACCTCATATCCCCAGAGCTCGGCGCCGTATGTAAGTATTGGTAGGACCATGCTGTCGAAAATCCTCATTGCAGTGGTGATCTGTAATCCGCCACACATATAGTGAAGTCTGTATATGTGTACACATACTTTCTCCGCCTGCTGTGCTAACAACTGTGTCAATCTTGTCCACACTAGTTTGGGTGTAAAATGAAGTCAGAGATACTTATAATACGAGACAGTTTCTATTTGGGATCCTCTGTAGTACCATTTTTCAAATGAACGTAAATATCCACCTTTACGGAATACATGTACAACGATTTTGGATTTCTGCATATTCAACGTCAACCCGCATTTTGTACAAAAATTGCTGACACAATTGATTTGGTCCTGTAGTTTTCCGGCAGATTCCGAGGCGTTAGCAACATCATCGGCGTAGAGAAGTGAACATACATTAGGGAATTCCTCTGATATAAATATTCCTTTACAGTTAGACGTTGACATTTCAGTGACTAGTTCGTTGATGTATAAAATGAACAACAGTGGACTGACCATACAACCATGGCACTGATTGATTAAAAGCGGCGTAAAACCACACTCACTCACTGTTATGAGTGGTGCGTTGCGGTGGCCAACATTCGTAAACTACTCGCCTCTTTCCCTGACCTACACCCGGCTTGCTAGAATGACACGAGTAGTTACGAATGGGTGGCCAAATGATCAATGCAAGGGAAGTAACTCTCATTCCGTAACCCAGAACAGAACATCAACAAACAGGTCGTCTATCGGTCCATCAAGCAGTGTTTTAAATCAAAATGACAGCAAACACAAAGCGAATTCTGGTGCATCTGAAGAAAACGAAACCTAAAGAAGGACAAGAAGTTCTCGCACGATTCTCACAGGTATTCATTAGTGCAGTTTGTTTCATGCGATGTTGTTTTCACAATATCAACAGCTGATCAATCAGACTATATGACGAAAATCACATGTCATAGTCATATGCTAGTGCGGCCATAGTATTCTATTACTTATCCTTTGTCTCCAAGACCTAGCTGTGAATAGTCTTGACTAATAATTGTATCATTGTGTACATAATTTGTGAGCATGTGTTGCTTATCATTTTCTTTTGGCAGTGCATTCTGGAGTATTTTGGGGCTACTGACCTGACAACACATCTACATGCTGAACTGGTCAACAACAGGCTTGTAGTGACCGATGACCTCACAGGGAAAACACCTGTCAAACTCAAGGTAACAAGACGTCATTGTGCCATCTTGTATTATCTTCGTCCCGTAACCCCCCTTTATTATCATTCTATGCCTAAGATTTATAGTAAGATTAGATGTTTTTTTATAGAAAGCCTATCCTAACCCTAACCCTAAACCTAATATAATGCTGAATCTAAACCCTAAACCTAAACCCTAACCCCTTGAAATGATCATACTAATTAGAATACTTTTCAGCAGGGGTTATAGGCAGAACTCTTACCGAAAAATAACCCCAACTGGACCAGGGGGTCATTGTTCCTGATAGTGAGGCATGGATGACACAACTGTCTCAGCTCTCAGTTCACTGAGTTGCCACCCTTGTAGTGCCAGACCCAGTACGGCCAGTAGCCTGCATTGTTTACATAGTTCCTACTTCCTCCTCAGCATCCCCCTTTCTGTCCAGTTCTTCACCTCAGCCCTGAAGATGTGGCAGCTCTCTCACCAGAAATTGCCAACAGAGGGGTAGATGTGGGAGCTGCTGTTGTCATGGAAACTGGAGATGGGAAAGTTCTACTGACTAGGAGAGCCAAGCAGTTACGAGCATTTCCGGGAATATGGGTTCCTCCAGGTATGTGAACATCCATCTGCCTGTGTGGACATGTAAATGAAAGCTCTTACATTTTAGCAGCAGATCATGTCATCAGTGCTTTGAAGGTATTGGAATTGTGATTTAAGTTAAGATCAGGACTTCCACAAGGGGGTGAAGTGTGAGTCCTGTCCATATTGTCCACACTGTTCAAGTCTTGGCACACCAAGTCAACACCAGGGTGCCGTTGTACAAAGCAACCTTAGCGTTACGTCAGTCGTAAGTCTGTGTGGTGGTATGGAAGTTACAATAACCTTAGCGCTACGTAAGATTTCAGTGCTACGTCAGTCGTAAGTCTATGTGGTGGTATGGAAGTTACGATAACCTTACGATAACCTTACGTTATGTCAGTTGTATGTCTATGTGGTGGTATGGAAGTTACGATAACTATGTGGTTTGGAAGTTACGATAACCTTAGCGTTACGTCAGTCATAAGTCTATGTGGTGGTATGGAAGTTACGATAACCTTAGCCCTAAGATTGCTTTGTACAACGGCACCCAGGATTTGCACAAGTGGACAAAATGTGAAACCCATTCTCATTGTGTACACTGTCTAACTTATATTTTGCACAGCCTGTAATGACCACTGTGTAAAGTTATTACCAACAAAGCTGTGTAAAGTTATTACTAACAAACCCGTGTAGAGTTATTACCAACAAAGCTGTGTAAAAAGTCTAGTTGGTACTGTAAACAAATTGTCTGCTGCTTCTTTTTTTCTGACTGTTAGGTTAAGCAGAAATTGTTTATAGCACTGAGCAATATTTATTTGTCTGTTTACTGTTACACCTACAGAACTTCATGCCTACTGTATATGACCAATGGAAAGCCCAATTTTGAGGACCAAAAATATTCTAGAGAAAGGGGTAGCGACTGATCTGAAGGTTATGCTTTCACCAAACTTTTTTTTCTGGTGCTACAAAAAGACATCATATCGCTTTGTGTGAATGAACAAGAGAAAACGACTTTGTCACTGAAGATGCAAATTACAGAACTGATGTTGATGGTAGGATAATGTTTATGGCAGTAGCTGTTGATATGCCAGGATGTGTTGCTGTGTGGATTCCACTGAAGAGGGATGAAACAACTAATCCTGATATTTACAATTACAGGAGGGCACATAGAGGAGAATGAAACTGTGAGTTGGATCAGTCAGTGTCTTCTGTAAACATTCTGCACCCGAAGTCTCAGTCAAGTAACATTTCTCCTGGACTAGTAAATATCAGATTATACCAGTCAATATGCTAGGACTAAGATATGTGGAAATTATGACATGTTCGGACTGGAGAACTGAAAATCTTTTGTCACATGCTGTGGAAACTATCTCTGCATCTTTCAGTGACATTGTGTTTGTTGATGAGATCAGTGGTGCCAGCAGCTTATTACTACATGATCAATGGAAACTTAAATAGCCAAGTTTTCTCATTTGTGACAATTTGCTCTTTCCTTTGAATCTTATGTCATCATAATTAAGTTTCTCTGTCATTCATCTATAAACATCTTACAATTCAATATATTCAAAACTATACAGTACATATCAATGGGGACCCAAAATCAAGAGACTGACCCTGACCTTTAATATTGTCAGAACAGAACAGATCATTATTGACCTGTCACATGATTAACATCAGTTGAGGCATCGGGGTCAGGTGGTCCTTGTTTTAGTGTATTTACCTTGTCAGGAGCCGTTATTGCTTGTTCTCACCATACACGTGTACACGTGCTGGTGTTATCTTTGTGGTCAATATCCTTCATGTCGCCCAACATCAAACTGATCTACTACTCAAGGCAATACCCAATGTCAATTTATTTTTCAGTTTGTGGAAGCAGGTCTGCGTGAGTTTGGTGAGGAGACAGGCCTACAGCTACAAGCTAGTCAGTGTGTTGGGAACAAGCTACATCTTCTGGCTCTCTGGGAGGTAAGGGTCTGTGTGAGTTTGGTGAGGAGACAGGACTACAGCTACAAGCTAGTCAGTGTGTTGGGAACAAGCTACATCTTCTGGTTCTCAGTGTGTTGGGAACTAGCAATGTCTACTGGGTGGTAAGATAGGAGTTCCAGTTGTCGTCAGCCAAAGAAACAATACTGTCAAATGGTTGGATCATTATGTCATGGTATCCATCAACTAACTGAAGCATCAACCAAGAGTCCTACACAGAGGTGGTTGATAGCCTACTGGTACACCATGTGGGATCTGAATGTGGTGTACCTGAGAGTTCTACACAGAGGTGGTTGATAGCCTACTGGTACACCAAGTGGTGTACCTGAGAGTCCTACACAGAGGTGGTTGATAGCCTACTGGTACACCATGTGGGATCTGAATGTGGTGTACCTGAGAGTCCTATACAGAGGTGGTTGATAGCCTACTGGTACACCATGTGGGATCTGAATGTGGTGTACCTGAGAGTCCTACACAGAGGTGGTTGATAGCCTACTGGTACACATCTGAAGGTGGTTGATAGCCTACTGGTACACCATGTGGGATCTGAATGTGGTGTACCTGAGAGTCCTATACAGAGGTGGTTGATAGCCTACTGGTACACCATGTGGTACACCATGTACCTGGGATCCTGAATGTGGTGTACCTGATCTGAGTCCTACACAGAGGTGGTTGATAGCCCTGGTACACAGAGGTGGTTGATAGCCTACTGGTACACCATGTGGGATCTGAATGTGGTGTACCTGAGAGTCCTACACAGAGGTGGTTGATAGCCTACTGGTACACCATGTGGGATCTGAATGTGGTGTACCATACAGAGGTGGTTGATAGCCTACTGGTACACCATGTGGGATCTGAATGTGGTGTACCTGAGAGTCCTACACAGAGGTGGTTGATAGCCTACTGGTACACCATGTGGGATCTGAATGTGGTGTACCTGAGAGTCCTATACAGAGGTGGTTGATAGCCTACTGGTACACCATGTGGGATCTGAATGTGGTGTACCTGGGGAGTCCTATACAGAGGTGGTTGATAGCCTACTGGTACACCATGTGGGATCTGAATGTGGTGTACCTGAGAGTCCTACACAGAGGTGGTTGATAGCCTACTGGTACACCATGTGGGATCTGAATGTGGTGTACCTGAGAGTCCTATACAGAGGTGGTTGATAGCCTACTGGTACACCATGTGGGATCTGAATGTGGTGTACCTGAGAGTCCTACACAGAGGTGGTTGATAGCCTACTGGTACACCATGTGGGATCTGAATGTGGTGTACCTGAGAGTCCTACACAGAGGTGGTTGAATTGATAGCCTACTGGTACACCATGTGGGATCTGAATGTGGTGTACCTGAGAGTCCTACACAGAGGTGGTTGATAGCCTACTGGTACACCATGTGGGATCTGAATGTGGTGTACCTGAGAGTCCTATACAGAGGTGGTTGATAGCCTACTGGTACACCATGTGGGATCTGAATGTGGTGTACCTGAGAGTCCTATACAGAGGTGGTTGATAGCCTACTGGTACACCATGTGGGATCTGAATGTGGTGTACCTGAGAGTCCTACACAGAGGTGGTTGATAGCCTACTGGTACACCATGTGGGATCTGAATGTGGTGTACCTGAGAGTCCTACACAGAGGTGGTTGATAGCCTACTGGTACACCATGTGGGATCTGAATGTGGTGTACCTGAGAGTCCTATACAGAGGTGGTTGATAGCCTACTGGTACACCATGTGGGATCTGAATGTGGTGTACCTGAGAGTCCTACACAGAGGTGGTTGAATTGATAGCCTACTGGTACACCATGTGGGATCTGAATGTGGTGTACTTGGTCAACTCTTGATTGCCTTTCATGAATTGAACTGTCTGGTCTTGACATATGCATGTACAAACTAGTTTCAAAGAAAAAAGCTCGGCAAAAGAAATGGACATATTGAACACCCTTGTTAGTTAATGTAACAGTTCAAACAGATTAAACATCAAATCCAACCCGGGGAGTGTATGTATATAGTCTTCTTTAAGGGATAAAATATAAGGATATTTTGTTGATTGTTAAATTTCAGTCTGTGTACCCACCAAAGCTGTCACATGGTCTGCCAAGGCGTCATCACGTGGTTGTGTACTTGTACGGGAAACTCATTTCTGACCTGACCTCTGACAAACTGACCAGTCAGCTGAAGATGCAGCCGGAGGAAGTGGACGCCTGCACATGGCTGGACCGTGACATCATCACCAACATTGTGAAGCTGTCAGATGAAGAGTCACCAGAACTGCCGAGCACCTCTGGCAGACTTCCTCAAACTATCAGGTAAACCTCTGATTTGACACATAATGTGTAGGCCAAATCTCACATAGCTCTGTTAATTCTAGTATCCTTCAATCATGTTGGTTTGACATGAGTTTGTATCATGAGGTGGTTAGATGTATGTGTATATCAGTATAAAACATGTGATATTCCCCGCCAACATTTCCCATTATGTATAATGCTCAGGACTTCTTTAACAGTTTTGACATCCCTTACCCAATTCCTAGTGTCAGTTAAAACATATATATATTTACAATTTAAAAACATGTTTGGTTGTCATTAAGACAAATGAGTAAGTATGGTTTTATGCCGCTTCAGCAATATTCCAGAATGGCATGGACACCAGAAATGGGCTTCACGCATTGTACCCATGTAGGGATTTGAACCCAGGTCTTCAGCTTAACAAGCGGACACTTTAACCATTAGGCTACCCCACCACCCCTCATTAGGACAAGCACTAAAACAATGACAAGGAAATATAACCTTTATGTTATTGATAACTATATGCTTTCTGTAAATATTGAGAAAGTTAAAGAAACCATGGTTAATATTAATCGAAATAAGATGATTGGTTTTTATCATGGTCATGCTGTCCTGTTACAGAGCCATTGTCCTGAATGATGAAGGCAAGCAAGTTGACCTTGACCTGCCCTTGGCCCCATTACTACAGACATCTGGAGATAAGGAGTGTTTAGGGAGGGTCAGCACCGGCACCAAGTTCGCTTTTGAAGAATGGCTAAAGAGAACCTCTGAATGATTCCAACAGCCATTAGGAACTTAATACTAAAGAAAGATAATATTCCGGGCAGATGGAATAGCCTGACAAGAGTGTTTGCTGGGGGTGGGAAATGTGATTGTTGAAGTAGTGATGACTCACATTTGTTTTATTATTAAATAAATTATACACCCACAAACTTTTCACTGCATTTAGTCTCAAAATATTTATTGCTTGAAAGAGCAAGTTATCTGGTTATCCTCTAAGAAACATTATTGCATATGTTCCTATTTCAATAGTAAGCATTTACCATAGTCACCCCAAGTGTTTAGGTTATAACGTGCACGATGAAACTGCCACTAACAATGACCTATTGGTTATGTTCATTATTTTATTTGTTTGTTGTTGGGCTAACAAATATTCTGGTCATTCCTTGCCAACCTATGCCAGACAAATGAAGGGATGTTATTATAACTTTTATGGCATGTTCATCATGACATCCAATCAATTAAATCATCCAGTCTGATCCAATCATTTGCTTTTGTTTCACACAATGGAGTGCTGGAGATCTGTTATAACCAGTCCCTTTGAGTTGATGCTCTGTGTGCAAATCTCCCAAGGAAGATTATTGCCCCAACTTCTGATCATATCATGGAAGAAATGATTGTGATTTTTGCTGTATATGCCATATCTTCATCAAAATCCTTTCAGCACTGAAACATGTTTTATTATCCATATGGTGAAACATACGAGGGTCATATATATCATATGTGTGGGCTTAATGGCTGACTCAACTTCATTAGATAGGAGCCATGCTTCCCATTTCCAATATTTGGAAATGCTTGTCTACAATCTGAAAAAAAGAAGTTTTTGCACTGATAGACTAGGTGAGGTGAGGTGAAGTTGGGTTTAACGTCGAGCTTGAGAATATTTCGGTCATATGACGAAGTGCATGCGTGTGTATGTCTATGTGCGGCTGCTTGTACTGGTTTTATAGTGCTAGCCCACTGAGATACCATGCCGCAGTGAAGCATGAATACCCCACTCAGACACATTATACTGACTCCGAGCCAACCAGTCCTTGTTATACCCAATAATGCCAAGAGCCAGGCAGGGACCAACAAGTACCATATTTTAACGTCTTTTGGTATGACGTGGTCGGGGATCAAACCCGTGACCTTCCGCTCTCTGGGCGGACGCTCTAACCACTACAACACGGAGGCGGTGATAGACTAGGACAAATTACTCAAATTGTTAACCCTGAAGGCAAATCGTGTTAAGTTTTGGCATACAAGCTTTTGAGTGGTATTGAGGGGTGCTGAATCCAAATATGCTGTATGCCAAGCTCAAAAATGCCCCATAATGCCTCAAAATGCAGAAATACAAGATGGCCACCAACGCCAGATTGAAACATGAAAACTAACATATCTCATTCATTTATCAAGGAAGAAAATTAAAAGAGTATGCTTTCTTATGTTTTCACATATGGGGAAAGCAATGCAATACTCAATTTCATGGTTACAATTGTAGAAAATTCTTGAATTGTACATCTTTTGCAAAAAATTGTCATTTCTAACAATAAATTTGTTCTTCAACTTATAATATCATCCATAAGAAGGTTAATTTGACATGTCCTGCAATGATGTACAGAATGTGTGCAGGTTTGTTTGTCACTGCACATAGATATATGATGGTCTTCGGTCAGTCAATACTATTAGACAACTTCGTTCTAAATTACAATATGACAATTTCCGAGAAGTAACTGATCTAATCTACTCACTTAAATACTCCAAATGGACTCACGTCAGCCAATCTTACGGCATAAGGACTGTCGATCTAGTTACATGAGTAAATCAAAAGTCGAAAGACTAGAAAATGCTGCATTGAGAACAGCAAACAGTAACAGTTCGTCTGGAACCTCACCAAGTGTTGTTCTTCGAAGCAAACATCTGCGACTGATTGGAAGAAGTGTATCTTTTGTCAAAAAGACAAGGAAGAATCACTTCATCTCATAAAAGAATCCAAAGTCAGCTCCAGAATACTGGAAGCAGCAAAGTATGGCCCATCATTAAGAGTTCGACTGGCATGTGTAAATGATCTTACAGCCGCAGACGGAACTTATCACCAGCCTTGTCTTGTCCTGTTTGAACGTAACACCAAGCGGATGAGTGATGTGTTGCCACAAAGTACAGATATCATATTCTGGCTTCGTCAAGAACTTGAGCAATCAGCAAAACATGCTGATATCCTTGATCTCGTAGATGTATGGAACAGGTACTGCACAATAGCTAACAATGTCCAAATAGATATACCATCTTCATTTATGACCCGGAGGAACACCTTCAAAGACAAACTAGCTGACCATCTTGTGGGCATACATGATTTTGTTGTATTGTACGATCGTGCTCCAAACAAACCTCATACTGTGTTGGTACCATTCAAATTCCTGCACATTCCAATTTCTGAAATGGTGACAAAAGTTGACACCAAGGATATTAACAAAGTCATTCCATCATTCAAACATGAGGATCAGGATACATTTCTGACCATGGTCAATGTGGACCTGTGGATTCGTGGTGTCATGAATTATCAAACTTGACACTGCACTAGCCAAGAAGACATTAGAGACCATGGATGACACTGGGGCTGTTATGCCACAAAACCTAGCAAAGGACCACTTTGTCCATTTCTCGACAGACAACGTCGACATTAATGCCACTCAGGTAGCTGCCTGGCAATGTGGTCCACCCGGATATAATCTCTTCAGAGGCATTGACATTTCTAAGACAGGAATCTTTGATATACCTGAAGTGATGACTGTCATCATACCTGCACCAAACAGAGGATCACAGAGCGTCAGCCAGATAAAACTACAGTGGGCTACCTACCTATCATACAGGCTCCTGCATCTGGACTGGATACCTTGAACACAGTTGTTAAGAGGGTGATCCATGTAGCCAAGTCTATGGGAAAGCAGCATGTTCTGACTGTTGATGAGGCCCTTTATCTGAAGCTGTTGGAACTGAAGTTGCCTTGGAGGACTTCACATTGCCATGAACTTTCTCAGTATAATTGGACGACATATGAGCGGGTGCAGTCTCGCCGAGCTATGGGTAGAATGTGATGTATTGGGAACCACTGCTGCCCAGCATGTCATGGGAGGAAAGGGATGCACGTGCCATGCGAATGCACAAACTTACTTCTCAAGCTCTTTGGCAAATATGCAGCTGATGACCCGAATGCTGCCTTCTGGTGGGATGGATATGTTATGCATACTACTTTGCTTCATATGTTATATTTGGGATTACACTTTCTTAGTAAAGTACAGATTCTAGTACTTTTTGGGTTGAGTCCCATCCTGGATTCGAACCCACACCCTCAGAGTCAGGCACCTAATCGCCAGCACACAAAGTGTGGCATTGTGTATTTCATAGCTGTCGGCCGTGGGAGCCGTGTCAATTAACACTTATCAGAGGGGTACACAAAGTCCGCAGTCTAGACTACCAGTTGTCCGACTTCCATTTTTGTGGAAGCCGCGGTGGCTGAGCGGTCTAGGCGTCTGACTTTGTGTATACTGACGCAAGAAGTCTAAATGTCTGCTAACCTCATGCTTGATGAGTCCAGCTGCCCGCTCATTGATGGCCAAGCCCTAGTGATGGCACTTGGAAAGCAGCCTGACATTAGAACGTCTGGTGACTACGCCAGAACCTTTGCAAACACCGTGTTCAAGATGGGAGCAAATTATCACAGAGTTGACATAGTATTTGACATGTATCATGTTGATTCCATAACAGCGGGGACAAGGACAAAATGCAAGCAGCGCCTACGACCGATACGTGGTCAAATAGCGTGTGGGTCAGTTCCTCTCCCACTCCCACGGGTCTTGATTTGTTGCACTGGTGGAAAATAAATCAGATCTTGCTGTACTGCTGTCAAACCATCACACTGAACACAGCACAACCTGTAGTTGTAGCAGGGGGGTTCACTGAGGCCACTACAGTCAGGTTGTCTGATCCAGAGCTTGAAGTCTCATCTCTGGGAGCTGATCATGAAGAAGTGGGCACACGACTGATTGCATCCATACTCAGATGAAGATGATTGTTATGTCAGTGCGTGACACAGACATGCTTCTCCTACTTCTGGCACACTATGACAAAATGAGATGCACTCATCTCTACATGAAAGCTGGGACATCGAAAGCTCCAAAGTATCTGGCAGTACACGAAATTCGCAGGCTTCTGTCTGCGGATCAGGTTCAGGTTGATACACTACTTGCTTTCCATGCCATCACTGGATGTGATGGTGTGTCTCAGTTCAATGGCCACAGTAAGAAAACAGCATGGAAGGTGTTCCAGCAACACCATACTGATGTCACTGGGCTTGGAAAGGGTCCTTTTACTGAAAACCTAGCTAGAGAAAGCCAACAGAGACGTTCATCTGTAAAATATATGGCGTGCCTGAGGTCGATACATGCAACAAAGCACGGGTAAAATTGTTTTGTCATGGCAGTGTACAAGAGACTCTGCCACCAACCTCTGACGCAGCAAGGTTCCACATCATGCGTTCCCACTACCAAGCAAGTGTCTAGAACCAAGCACGCTGCCCATATCCAGATCTTCCTCCTGTGACTGATATGGGGTGGGTTCACCAAGACAGTCAGTGTCACGGATAGAATGCATTGAGGCTAGGAACTGCAGGAAACGCAACAGCAACTACTGGAACACCAGATATGAATGGGAATAAGTGAATGCTTACAATTTTTACTGCAGACAGCATTAAACAATTTGCATTCTTTCCATTACCGTGATTCCGCAAATAAACATATTGTTCTTAAAACACTTACCTTGAGTTGTGTCATTGATAGTTGTAAGTGCCCTGTTATACTGAGTCAAAAGACCACTAAGAAGGATAGGGTTTTTGACCATCTGAATATTCATTGTTCAAAATGATAATTTTTGCAATAGGTATGCAAATCAATCATTTTCTTCCAATTTAATCACAAAACTGAGTATTGGATTGCATTCCCCATATGTAAAAACATTTTTCAACTTTCTAACTTGATTAATGAAAGTGATATGTTAGTTTTCAGGTTTCAGTATGGCGATGGTGGCCATCTTGGATTTCTCAAAAAAATTTTTAGCTTGGCATACAGCATATTTGGATTCAGCACCCCCTCAATACCCCTAAAAAGCTTGTATGCCAAAAATTTAGCTAAACCTGTAGAGGTTTCCAATTGTTTGAAGAGAATCGTCCTTGGGGTACATATATGCATTTTCTGCGGCTGAAAATGTCATGTGACAGTTGTATCAATGTTTTAATAAAAATATTTTACAATAAATAATAATTTTTTTATCTATTATACGGCCCCCACCACGTGGAGTTACCTCCCTGCTACGCATGCGCAGCCAACCAGGTAAGCACCTAGGCCCGTATCATCATTCCTTCTACTGAATGAATCAGTGAACAGAATTGCGGGGAGGTGGGTGGCCCTACCCCAAGGACGATTCTCTTCAAAGAATTGGAAAG